TTCTTATCTATTCATAAAATGACATCACACCTGCCATAATCTAATCATGTCTGCAACCCAAAAACAAAAATTTGAATTCTCCCATAAAGTGAGGAGAGAGATAGAGAGAACAAATAAAAGACTGTATACCAATCAATTCTTTTCTTTTATGCAGTATAAAAAAGATCTAGATATGACCTCAAAAGAGCCAAATGCACAGCTGGATCCAATCCAAATGCAATGAAAACATGTTAGCTGTAAAAATGGTCCTACTCTTTCTTTTCCTTCATTATTACACTCAATAAGAATCAATTATATTCACTTATTATCTCTCTCTCTCTCTCTAAAAGCAATTATATTCACTTCCTACTCAAAGAGAGGGTTTTTGTAGACAAAGAAGCATAAATTCTTGTCCTGAGTGTAGTACAAAGTGGAGCCCCACTGAGTGATTCCCTCACAGCAACGGCTTCATTTCCCAAACCCTCTTCTCTTGTTTTGAGTGATCTCTATCTTTATGAAGATGGGTGTTTTTGTCTACTTATTATTGTCCTAAAATCACACGTAGAATCCAACGTGGCATCTCTCTCCATTGCATGCCAGCTCACACACTCTCCCTCCTTCTCTGCCTTTATAAATGCCCTCCTCTCCTACTTGTTTTCTCCACTGAGTCAAGTGTGTGAGACTGTAGAGTAATAGAGAGCGAGAGAGAGACATTTATAAACAAGATGGTGGGTATGGGTTGGTTCATGTGTATGATGATGATGGTGTGTGTGATTTCTTGTGGTGAAGCTGCTCCTGGAGCTAAGTTTGATGAACTTTACCGTTCTAGCTGGGCTATGGATCATTGTGTCAACGATGGTGAAGTCACAAAACTAAAGCTTGACAACTTCTCCGGTACATAATCTATAACCAAACTCTCTCTTCTCCTCTGTTTTGCTTGCTCTGTTTCTGAAAGCTCATGTTTGACTGATTGTTTCAGGAGCTGGGTTCGAGTCTAGGAGCAAGTACTTGTTCGGTAAAGTCTCTATCCAGATTAAGCTCGTGGAGGGTGACTCTGCAGGAACCGTCACTGCTTTCTACGTACGTAACAGAAAAAAAAACAAAAAAAAACACTCTCTTGCTTAGTTTCTTGAACTCAAATCTTGAAATCTTACTATGTTTTTTTCTTTGTCTTACAGATGTCTTCAGAAGGTTCGAACCACAACGAGTTTGATTTCGAGTTCTTAGGTAACACAACCGGTGAGCCTTACATAGTCCAGACAAACGTCTATGTGAACGGAGTCGGAAACAGAGAGCAAAGACTCAACCTTTGGTTCGATCCCACCACTGAGTTCCACACTTACTCTATCCTCTGGAGTAAACGCAGTGTTGTGTAAGTCTTCTTGCTCAATGATGAGATTGTGGACCCACTTTTGTAATGACTCTTTGATGTTTCCATTACAGGTTTATGGTGGATGAGACTCCTATTCGTGTCCACAAGAATCTTGAAGATAAAGGTATCCCATTTGCTAAAGATCAAGCAATGGGAGTGTACAGTTCCATTTGGAATGCAGATGATTGGGCAACGCAAGGAGGTCTTGTGAAAACTGATTGGAGTCACGCTCCTTTCATTGCTTCTTACAAAGATTTCAAGATTGATGCTTGTGAGGTTCCGACAACAGCTGATCTAAGCAAGTGTAGTGGAGAAGACCAGAGATTCTGGTGGGATGAGCCGACTGTGTCTGAGTTGAGTCTTCATCAGAATCATCAGCTTATTTGGGTCAGAGCTAACCATATGATCTATGACTATTGCTATGATGCTGCGAGGTTTCCCGTTACTCCTCTTGAGTGCCAACACCATCGCCATTTGTAGTCTAAAGTTGATCTTATGCTTTAACTTGTTCAAGAAGTTATTGTGGTCAAGAGTACATGTGGTGGCTCTTTGATGATTCTGTTTATGTATAAATAATCAATTATCAATTGATTTTGTTTTATTTAAAATTTGATTTTAGATAGAAAAATGCTACATTTGTGGAAACAAACTCAACACACCTAATGTTATGACTTTTAGGGTTTGTTTTAAAAATCCTAGTCTAGAACTAGAGGAACTCAAAAGCCAAAAGCTTGGTTATGGTTTTTTGTTTTCTTTTAACAATGGAAACAAGATCTTTGGAACAGAAGAAGAATACAAGTCACTACCAATGACAAGTTCAACTTGCCTCGTTGGATTGTAACATCTCAGAGGTTAAGAACCTTGAAGTACAAGTCATCTTACTCTGGTTTTAGATTACCTCCATCATAAATCTTTGGAGGTTTTCAGAAACTTCACTCTTTATCTCTTGTGATTCTATGCACCAGACCTTTATCTCTACTGATTTTGCTTACGTTTTGGCAGCAATGGAATAAGGACTCGTGGGATATGACTTACTCTGAAACAGAGTTTCAGTACTGAGAATCATTAAACCTATGAAGTGGAATCTTCCATGGCTTCCTCCAAAGCTTCTTCCATGGCTTCCTCCAAAGCCAAAGTCTCATTCCATTGAAAGTTCCTGTATAATTGGTTCAGGTCTAATGTTGATTATCTATTACAAGTTTTCCTTCTGTTGAAATCTTATATGCTTACTGAAGATAGATACAAAAAAAAAGCTTAGCTAATGGCTCAAGTGAATGCTGAGAGCTATTGTCTTTGAAAAATATTAATATGAAAGGCGTAAAAGCAGCTTCGTCAGCTGTGGTTAAGCAAATAGAGCTTTAGTGTACAAGAAGGAATGATGCACATTGTGTACACTGGGACAATACTGTCAAACGTACAATCACAAACATCGATCAGGTTTCACAATGAACAACTTTTTCTTCTTGTCCCTAGTTTGTTTATTCCTCTGGATGTTTCATAGACATACCTTTGAATGGCATAGCAGTTCCAAGTTCCTATAGATAAACTCACATATATTGTTCAAGCCTTTTTCTCATGAGAGTTGAATTGGTTCGCCACATAGACTCTCTAACTCCTCTTCCAACAGTTTATGCAACTTCGCTTCTGTCCGCCGATAGATCCACGCATTAGCATCACGGTCCCAGTCGAATCTAGACGGGCCACTGTGCCAAAAACAAATATGAAATAAAAAGAAAGAAATTATGATGATATCAAATGTGAGTCCAAGATGTGAAAGCACAAAGTCAAGTGCACATTGCAATTTTCAAAGAAAATCAAATTGTTTTATAAACTAAAGCAAGAATGTATACCTAACAGGTGAAGACATCCATATTTGTCGATTAGGAGTTTGCTTGTTGAGAACATACGTGCCTAACGATCCAAGCTTAAGTGTGAGAACTTCATTCTGTTTTGGCCACATCAACAAAAGGACTAACTTTATAAGCACACACACATAGATTTCCAAATACAAAAAAAAAAAAAAAACAAGATAGTAAATGCAATATAGAGTCTTTCTTTACCCCATAATCTATGTCGAAACCATCAATCTGCACATTATCACCATAATCCTGAACATTGAACCATGTAAGTAAGGACAAAAGTATAAACCTTTTTCCAATCTAAAGGCTCTACCTTTACATACATACCTCAATTTTCTCAAGAAGGTGATTGATAGTGACATTGGCTAATTTGTGGAACTCATCCTCCTGCAGAATCGAACTGATACAAAATTGCAACAATAGAAAAGATTAATGGGATGAGATTAGGATTGTTATCTCGTGAGAAAGATTAATTTACCTATAATCTATAGGAGCAGGACCTTGTTGAGAAGAGAAGCTTCTTGTAGTGATGGAATCATGTCGTAGGAGACGAGATCCTATTCGCCACAATGAATCTGAAGGCTCGGGGGTTTGGTGAATCGAAGAGCTTAAACCCCTTGTGAGATTGCTACGAACAAGGGTTTGAGGGAGCTTGAGAGACCTTGGTAGTTTCCGGAGAAACCTTGAAGCTGTAGAAGCCATGGCGGTTCTGTTGCAAAAACAGTCGTCACCTCTGTCTTATTCTTCGGTTTCCAGTAAGGCCCATACTGAGGCCCAATATTTAGGTTTACCCGGTTCGACTGTTTCTGATGTTCCGGTTAGATAACATCCAACCGGTTCACAAGAATTTTTGTCCTTTTATTCGCTGTTCTTTAACTAGGCCAAGAATTAGATTGAGGAGGTTTGAATCACTAAAGGTTCGGTATTCTTGAATCAAGTCCGGTTCTTTTGCTCTGTTTTTTCTTCCTAAAAGCGGTTTAGCTGGTTTGAGTTTTTAAACATGTTCTGATTTAATAAAACCATAAACTGAACCAAAAACCAAATGTGCAATGCTATGTTGTAGGTCTGGTGTTGAGTTTATCTCTAGTTTCAGTGGAGAGGGGACATAAGAATCTAGCTCTTCTATGGATTAAGTTAAGAGGTACAAAGGAAGATTATGAATTCTCGATTTGTAGATATAATGAAACCGGTTTATGATGTGAAGAAGGTACATGGGTGTAATAGGTAAAGTGTTAGAGCTTTCTACTAATTTTGGTATCATATAATATGTTAATAAAGTGATACAAAGGAGATGTGAGTTATTGACTATTGTATGTAATAGACCTCTCTGTTTTTGCTTTGCTCCTAAACCGTTATCGGTTATTGAATTTGATGGCGAAGTTGGTTTAGTGCCGAGAGAAGGTTTGAAGATTGATTGAATTTTGGTATCATCTAAATACGGTACGAAAGTTGTACAAACAAAGACTTATTGTCTGGAATAGGCCTCTGTGTTTTTGGCTTTACTTCTAGAATTTAAACCGTTACCGGTCATTGGATTTGGTGGCTAAGTTGGTTCGGTTCAGGGGAAAGATTGACCGGACTGAGTTTTATTTAAAAGACCTATTTATCAAAACCCAAAGGATTTGTTCAGCCGGTTTAGTACGTAAAAGTCGGTTCGGTTTATTATAATGCAAATAAGTGTGTGGTCGTGAATAGATGATTTCGTCACGTGTGAAAAAATCAGAGCCGTTGACAACTTTTCGAGAAAAAGTGTGTGGTCGTCGTACAGTTTTTTGATTCGGTCCAAAAAGGTTTGTTTTAGGGTTAGCGTAGCTTTGCCTCAAAGTCTCTCTTCTTTTGAAGATAATCCTTCTCTGGAGCTCATGACTTCGAATCTTATCGTTCTAATCCTCCTCTCAATTTCAAATCTAGCTCTACGCTCTGGTGAGATTACCTCTCTTCTTCTCTTCCCTCTTTTTTGATTCAAGTGAGTTCCGATTCTCTGTTTCGGCTTTCGTTCGTACGCGTTTCGATGGTGTTTTCAAAGTTTTGTTGTTATTGCGGTCGTTGGGTTACTTGAACTTGTTGATATCTTCTTGTTCGATTCGATTTTTTCACTGTCTTGATATCGGTGGATAGTTTTTTTTTTTCTGTTTGCTCTGTAATCCGTTCTTCTTTCTTTTGGTCTGAATTGCAAGCTTTTTTTTTATGGGGTTGTGTCCGAGTGTTAAGAATCTTAAGATAGCTTTCTTCTTGTAATGTTCTGAAGTTTGCAAGCTTTTTGCTTTTTTTTTTTATTGGGCCTGAAGTTGTAAACTTGTAATGATCTGAATCGCAAGCTTTTTTTTTTTATTGGTCGTGTCCGAGTGTTAAGCTAGCTTTCTTGCTGTAATGATCTGAACTAAAGCTTCTTGCTTTTTTTTCGGGGTCGTGTCCGAGTGTTAAGACAGCTCTGTTGTTGTAATGATCAAGCTTTTTGCTTTTCTTTTTAGCTGAAGTTGTAATGATTTGAACTGCAAGCATTTTTCCTTTTTTTGGTTGTATCCGAGTGTTATGATAGCTTTATTTTTGTAGTGATCAGGATTGCAAGCTTTTTTGCTTTATTTTGGTCTGAAATTGTAATGACCTGAACTGCAAGCTTTTTGTTTTTTTGGGGGGGTCGTATCCGAGTGTTAAGATAGCTCTGTTGCTGTAATGATCTGAATTGCAAGCTTTTTGCTTCAGGTGAGCAACTTATTGGGATTTAAAGAGGAACTGGGCTTGCTTAAGCTCAAACCAACTTTTCTTCACTCTGGCCGCTTCTGCAAAGACGTGTGCTTCTCGCACCTCTGCGCAGGTGTGGGGTGGCCTTGAACTCCTTACTTCACTTTCTCTTCCAACTATTTCTCAAGCTTCAATCATCTGGAGACTACGTCGTGTCTCCGAGGGTCTAACCCTTGATTACGGCTAACATCTGTTCATAAACCTCCAAAACTTTCTTTTTCTTGCAAAAACGTCACTTCCATCTTATCGTTTCTACTTAGTGTTGTTGTATATTAATTCCAAAACAGCTTTTAGTTTTTAGTTTACTCTCTTCTTCTAGTGGGTGATGTACTCTATGTTCTTGAGTTTGACATAATGGTAAGGTTTTCATGCTTCAAAGCCCACACCTACCGCCACAGACCTAAGGTAAGTTGACTCTTACATTCATTTGTCTTATAAGTGGACACTAACTAATTTGTTGCTATGTTCTGGTGATGCAGAAATCCGAGGAAGATGGGTCTAGATCAAAAGGTTTGAGCTCAATCATATTTGGAAGAAACATTCCTTCTGTTAGTGGAAAGAGCAAGCCATCTGGCTCTATTGAGCGTGTTTGGAAATCTGAGGAGATTAAACCCAGTGGCGTTCTTGAGCATGATGCTGGGACGCATGAGGTAAGGCATCACAAGAAAAGTCAGTCTCATGGAGACGAGCTATACTTGGATGTGAGGGAAGTGACAGAGAATGGAACAGACCAGATCACTTCTCCAGATTCTCTTGAACTTGGGAGAAGCAGCAGCAAACGTGTAGAGGGAAGTCCTCCTAATCTGGTTCAGAAAGATCCTCGAGGTTCGGTTTCTGCTTACCAGGGCTCTGATCAAGCACTCTACGGGTCTATTTTCTCTGTTGGAGATGTTCATCATGCTGATCAGCTCGATGACACCTCGGTTTTATCCGGTGAAGAACAGATGGATAACTCAAACACCCAAACACCTTATGCTTCACCGGTGTTGATGAGGTCAAACTCAATGCCTAATATTGCTGACTCTGCATCAGAAAAATCTTCACATTCTCACCACCACTCTAGATCCTCTGATGACCTTCATGGTCTAGACATGCACCAAACAGAAAAATCTATCCACGAGACTGATGCAGAGGTGAAGCAAGAGCAAGAGAATCTCGAGGAGGATGGATATGATGAAGATGCAGATGATGACTATTCTTCCCTGGCAAAAGATTGGATAGTACCACCTACAGATGAGCTCAAGTTAACAACCTTTCTTGAAGGAGAAGCATCAAACAAGCCAGCAGAGTTTCCAGGAAAGGATTCTAAATTCAAGCGTATTGAGGATTGGGTTAATGACCTTCAGCATGTAAACTTCTCAGAGGAATCTGATGGGAAAACAGGATACGATGATGATGATGAGTTGCCAAGAGAACCGGTTGTGTTAAACGAGCCAACAACAGCTCCTGCTAATAAAGTAGATGTCATGAAGTCTAGTCCTGGAATGGAAGCAGCAAAAAAGTATATATCTTCCATGAGTACTTCTGCGACCACAGTCCAGCTGGTTAGTTATGGTCTGGTTGAGATACCGTTCCTAAGTGCATATGCTGGTCTGAGAGTTCTCAACCTCTCAGGAAACGCAATAGGTAAGGCTATATTTTCCCCATCTTGCTAATTTAATACACAGCTCTTTGTTTTGTTTAGTCTATATTTTTTACTGGTCTTAATACATGTTCCAGTGAGGATAACCTCTGGTACCCTTCCTCGTGGACTACATTCATTGAACTTGTCAAAGAACAGCATCTCTGTGATTGAAGGCCTACGTGACCTCACCCGGCTTCGAGTACTAGACCTGAGATACAACAAAATACTGAGAATTGGTCATGGTATGACTTCTTTGCTCAGCTACATTCTTCAGTTATCTCCTTATTACATGTAAACCAGTGTTCTAAAAACTCGCTTAGTTGGCAAATCGGATCTGGTTAAAACCATTTTTCTTAACAGGTTTTATTAAAAATCGTTCTAAATGTTCAAAAATAGGTTTATGCGTCTGCCTAAACAATAATCCTCTATAATGTGTCTAACCACCGCCTAGCTATTTCTTGAACATTGATGTATTTTTGTTGTTTTTATTTTTGTTGTTGGCTTAGGTTTGGCATCTTGTTCCTCCCTGAAAGAACTATACCTAGCTGGGAACAAAATCAGTGAAATCGAGGGTCTTCACCGTCTCTTGAAACTAACGGTCTTGGATTTACGCTTCAACAAGTTTTCAACCACCAAATCTCTCGGCCTGCTCGCTGCGAATTACAGTTCTCTTCAGGCTATAAGCTTGGAAGGCAACCCAGCACAGAAGAATGTTGGTGATGAACAACTGAAGAAGTACCTTTTGGGACTCTTGCCGCATTTGGTATACTATAACAGACAAGGCGCTAAAGATGCTCGGCTCGGGACAAGCACACTCCAGTTGGAACGAGGTCTCAGATCATCAGAGCTTAAAAACAGTAGCCGGAAGAGTAGCCTTGGTGCATCAAATACCCACAAAGGTGGATCATCCACGGCTCGTAAATTGCAGAAAAGGTCTAAGGAGAGAAGCAGCCGTCTTCCGCCTTTGGGACACAAAGTATCACCGGCTGCTTACGAGAATTATCATGTTGCTGCTGGTGATAGGCTGTCTAGTCTCAGATCAGAGCTCTCTATGCGAAGAAGTCGAAGCGCAGGAACTCTTGGACCTGTCTGATCTCTCTTCTCACTCTTGTTTTTCCTGAAAAGGTCTTTGCGAAGTAATGATGAAGATGATTTCTTTGTTCACTAAAAATCTTCCCAACTTCATGTTTCATCATTTTGTTCTGTTGTGTGCATTAAAAGTTACTCCAGAGAAGCTTTTGATTCTTTCTTCTAGCTTCCTAATAATGTCTGAAATTGGAAAGTGTTATACATTCTTTTCAGCACAGTTTGAGTTATACATATTGCAAAAAGACTTTGAATCTCTAGTCCGAGTCCAGTACGGTTTTCAGTCTAGTTGTGTAGAACTTGTTCCATTAATAGACTTTAACTGGTTCCTCGTATACCATGATTTCGGCCTATTAGCAACATAATGAGCCTAATGTGGTTTTGTACAGAGATTGATTATAGTAAGGGGTTGCTCATTTCTCAATTTGTCATTTCCATCCAGCTCCATTTATGTGATCTATCTAGATGATCCATCCAAATTTTAGGAGTTATTCGTTTTTTCATCCAGATGAGTCATCTAGATAAACTATTTGGATGAATTTTATGTTTGTCTTTTTTTTTTAATGTCCATTCAGATAAATTTAATAAATAAATTATAAATATACCTTTATGTTAATTTAATCGTATGTTTGATATTAATTTTACTATACTAATTTTTATTATTTAGCCTAAAAATATATACACTGGAATTATTCCAAAATTAGCATATTGACATTTTGACGTTCTCGTTTTGACGAGAAAACGTATTTTGTGGTTTTGGCGGAAAACGCAATTTACGGGTTTGGCAGTAAAACGTGTTTTTGGCAGGAAAACGCAATTTTATGATTTTGACGAAATTTTTTTTTTTGTGTTTTTGGCTATAAAATCCGTTTTGCGAGAAAATACATATCGGCAAAAACGCGTTTTTACAGTTTTGACGAAAAACACGTTTTGGCGGGAAAATGGATTTTTCGATTATGGCAGAAAAATGAGTTTTTTTTTTGTTTTGTCGGAAAAACACGTTTTTACCATTTTGACAAAAAACGTGTTTTTCGATTTTAGCGGAAAACGTATTTTTGGTTTTGGCGGGAAAACACATTTTTATGGTTTTGACGAAAAAATGTTTTTCGGTTTTAACGGAAAATATGTTTTTCGGTTTTTGTGAGAAAATGGCATTTTCTCATTTTTTTCATGAATTACAAAATGATTTAGTATTGTGGTTTTTTTTTTGTGAATTATATATAAAGGGTATAATAGACATTATATCATTTTAACAAAACTATCTTCATTAAGATAATCTAAATTGGTCTATTTAGATGGATTTTATAATTAAGCCTATAATTTCAAAAGTCATTCAGATAAACTATCTAGAAAATTTGTATTTTTAATGTATACACGAACAAAATTTTCATTTCCATCGAGATGGTTCATTTGGATTGAAAAAGGAAAAATCCCTAAAAACAAAAGTAGTTGAATGATTCAAACCACCTGTATAGTGGTCCAAAAAGTATAAATTTGCCTGCCTGCGATAGAGATTCTGGTAACTGGATAGCGAAGTCTCATAACACAAAACTAAATTCAATAGTTTCCTCATTTTTTCTCGTGACCACATTGTCACTCATATAGTAACATAACCATATGTTATATACATATACATTAACAGTCAATACCATTAAAAATAGATCATTCCTTTTAATGAAATATTAGATTTTGACTGCGTTTTAAAAATGTAAGATTATTATCGACAAAATAATATTTAATATAAACTAAAATAATAAAAATATGTGTTTCTAAAGTTTTCTATTTAATTTATTTATTAAATCTGTTATATGGATTATTTTAATTATTCTCAGATGATATATTTTTAGCTCTCAAAAATATTCTAAAGCTATGAGAATTTGTAAATTAAAAATTTAAAATCGATATAGTAAATAATCTATTAGAAGTGTTTCTTTAGTTTTGTTATAGATGCTGGATTGTTTTCAATCTTAAATTTGTAATTAAAAATTGAAATATTAATTTTAGATGTTAAATATATTTAAAGTTTGAGCTTATGAAAAGTGACATTTTAAATAGACGATAAATATTTATAAGTATGTAAATTTTTTCTTGCACTTAGTGTTTTATTTTAATTTTTATTTCACTAAGTTGTACATGTAATACTAGTTTATGGTATATCTATTTTAAATGTATAATTCAATAATTTTTTTTAAAATAATCATCAATAGATGTTAAATGCAAATTCTCGAACAAAGAGGTTCATGATCTATATAACCAACAAAAGCAATTTTGGTGGCTAGTATTTTATTTGAACCCTAGCAAATGATGAAAGTCCATTAGCTTTTTGCTTTGTTCGAAAATTTGCTAGGCATTACATCTATGTTCGGTTTGGGTCTAGAGCCTACTGAAAAATGTATTTTCAGAGATTAATTGAGGATTGACTTTTGGGTTCTATTAAACTGATATACAAAATGTAGTTATGTACACATAGATAAGATGTGGTCTGGTGGTATGTAATATACAGATACACATACCTGTTATGTAATGCAGTTTTAGTGAGTTAAAAGGGGAAATTGTGAGTCAATGAGTGACCTTGGTCAGATTGGCCGTTTTCTCCTTCTTCTTAAGCAGTTGGAGAGCTTCTTGTTTATGGAGTTTCATGAGCTCCTCTTCTTTTTCTTTTTTTTTTTATGACTCATGGCCCCTTTGTGCTTTTGTATTCCTCCATTGTTTCTAAGTATGTCTTCTTGTTTTTCTTTGCCACCTGTTAAAATACGTCAGTCCATTCACTCTCAAGTCTTTAAATAACTGTCGATGCAAGCATATATACAACAAAAAATAGACCTCTTCATATGGTGCTTTTTGTTTGTTTGACAACTTCTTCCACTCCTCCTCTCCCATCATCTTTGCGACCTATTAACCAATCTTCGTTATGTTCAATATTTTATTTTTTAAAAGTGTATCTTAATAGAGTGAATTAAAGTACTTAAATTCACATCCAGTTCATTCTTGTTCTCTTAAATTGATCCTCATTATCTTTCTTTTATAATTTGTTACTAGGTGATTTTCCCGTGCTCATGCACAGGTATAAATATTTATAAAACAAATATACTATAAAAATTGCTTGCTATTTACTTTAATTTATAATTTATATGCATAATTTATATTAATAATACTATGGTACTTTAGCAGATGAATGTAGATTTGTTATATCTAATTGGTTTTGTTATTTTTATAGTCGATTTAGTTATCATTTATTGGACTGTATCTATTTTTCTAAATTCAACTACAATGTTTTTTATTCTAAATATATTAAATTTTGATTAATTTTCTTATTTGTATTTAGGTTAGTTGTTGTGTTAGATACGTAAATATATTT